TTTTTTTTTTTTTTTTTTTTTTCTATTTGCAATTGAATCACATTTTATGAACCGGTCATGCTTTTCCCCCGTGCAGTGTGCTTGTTCCCTTCAGTGGCTGGACTAATTTGCTGACTGATGGAGGGAGCCTTGGAGGTTAGTTTCTGGATCTGAGCAAATCTAATCTTTCAAAAATACATTCCAGCTATGTCTCCCTCCCCTACCCTTGCAGCTGTGTTTTGTTTAAAATGTGTTTGCAAGTTTAATTCATTGATCATTCCTTCTTATTATAACCTTCAACTGCTATGTTTTATACACTGAATCGCTTCGAAAGTTGCATGCTGTTGTCAGATTAGAATGCCTTCCAGGGTTTCTTTCACTCATATGAAACTAACTTACCGTGCTGCATCAATAATCTCTATGTGTCAGTTTAAGGGTCTCCTGAGCAGTAATGGGTTAGCCTTCCTGTGATACTGAAAGCTTAATCTTCGCCCTGTGGTACCTGGAGAGCATTAGGAGGGTTCGAACGAATTCATAGTATTGCTTCATCGTGCTCCTGTAGATTATCTTTGGGATTCTTCTAGTATATTTTTTGTATTTTGTGAAGCCCCTGTCACTTCTCGATCTGGCATTGCCTGTATTTGGTAAGTGATCAGATCTGAACCACTATGTGACTGCTATTTTAAATGCTGTATAGGAAGATCTTGTCCCAGCCTTCCTCCTTACTTGATCCTTCGCACACTTTGAAATATTACATTATTACCTGAACAGTAGATGCTTCAGGACCCTGCATCCTGAAATTGGACCCCGAATTTGTGATACGCAGGGAGGAGGAGACAGAGAGGAGAGGGGAGGAGGCCGGTTATTTATAAAAGCATGACTGCTTTATGCGTTTGTCCAGTGCATTTTTTAATTAACTGTAATTAGTTGAAATACGCATAGAGGGGCTCCCGCTATTTCTTAAATTTGAATTTACTTATTTCAAGTGATAAATTAGCGGAAATTGCTCTCGCTCGTGACGGGTTGCGCAATGGATCACCAGGAGCGCGCTGTTCTCGCCTCGCCCCGGCCCTTGACGATCCGTGAAAAATTTGCTCATTCGTTGCTGCTGCACGCTCCCTCATTCCTTAACGCATGTTTTTACAATTGATCATTTCATTCACGCCATTAGCCGCCACCTTTGTCTTGCACGCTTCCGCTGACCTTACATACACTGCTGACAAATTGGACTGTTTAATGACATTGAAAATTGCTCGTCGAAAATACAGTATGCTAATGCTTTAGCAAAAACATGCTTCGCCGAAGATGCTCGTCTCACATGCATGTGCTTTAAAGAATTTTAAAAATTTATGCGAAATTTCCCGGGCAGTTTTTTTTTTTTGGTGCATCGCTCAGGATAGCTGTGCCACTTTCGGGATTGTAGATTGAAATTTCGAACGCCATCAGCTCATTTCCAGATGTCGAAAAGGGGCGAACATTTGCTTTCCTGCAGAAATCCTTGATGCAAAAAATTTTAGTTTTTTTTTTTCGTGGAATAGAAGTGCTTATACAATGGATTTTTTCCGCACAAGATATTCGGAAATGGGCTTTCAGTGAAGCGCTTTCAGGACTCTCGATCGACGCCGCGAAACATCGCGTTTTGCTGCGCGCGATCGACGTGGCAAAGAGGCCGATATCTTTTCACATCTCAAGAAAGTAGTACCACTGGCCAATACAAGAATGGTCGCACACGTGGATCGGATAGCTCTTCTACGTGTTGCATCAACATACTGCAAATTACGAAAAATCGCCGCAAAAAGTTTCTTTTGCTTTTACACATGAAACGGAGATTCACCACACTTTGGTGTCTTTCAGCTCTCTCCCACACTATCCAAAATGCCGCCTGTTAGTTTTATTCCATTTTCTCGAATATGGCAAATTTTTCTTGTGTTTTTAACCAAATTTTGCACCATCCTGATTTTTGTGCTCTGAATTTTTGATATTTGGTAGAATTTCGCATCTCTGTAGCTAAATTTTGCACTATTTTGATAAATTTTTCCGCATTTTCAGCTGTTTTTTGTGACTGCTTACTCATTGTGGCTAGCTTCCCTTTGGGTGATTTAGATATGCCGTTGATTTTGAACTGAAAGGCATCGAAGGGAGCGCCTCATTGTGTTGTCTATTTGTTGTCTCATTTTCAAAACATACTTGCTTACCTCAGCTCCAAAAACTCGGACATGCCAAAGGTAACATAATTTTTAGTGGCTGGAAAAATTACGCTTAAACTCTTACACTTATACGACTTTTATTTAAACTTCATAAGCTTACAGCGACCCTCACAGAATCCTGAGTGCTGTGTATGTATAAATGTGTGTGTGTGTGTGTGTGCGTGTGTTTGTGTGTGTGTCTGTGTCTGTATCGCTGTCTTTTTAAAACGTCAACAAAATGCTTACATTTCAGTGTTGAAGGGTGAATCGTGTAAAGATGATTGGAAGTACTGGCATGAAAAAACGATCATAGAAAGTTTGGATGGTTTTGTTGCAATTGTTGACAGCAATGGTCTTATACTCTACGTCTCTGAGAGTGTTTCATTGTACCTCGGACTCAGCCAGGTTCTACTAACGCTACTTGTTTCTCATGAACGCAGAGTTTGTTTGATTTTGCCTGTGGATTGTCAAGAGAATGAATTTGAGATACAAAAATTTCGTTGAGATAGAAAAATTGTTTCATATAGTTTTCAAATGCTGGGTTGGAATCCCAAAATTTCGTCCACCATTAAATTATTCGGCATAACATAACTTTGATCAAATTGCTGCCCGACAGACAGAATTTGGTCCTGAGCAGATCTCGATGAGTTAGAATCCTTGAATTAGGCATCAAAAGAGCCTCAAACCTATATAGTTTTGCTGGTATTTCTGTTTTTGTCTTTCTTTTTCAGACTTTTATTGCTTAATTATGCCAGCACTTATATAAATACACACGCTCGTTTTATTGAGCAATCTTGCAGTCTTTGCTTGCTTAGCCAGCAAAGTTTTTGCATAGTATTCTAGGGTTTTAAATCTGTTCTTTTCATACATGGCGAATAGGAAGCTGTACTGACAATTCTCACTCCTACACGCATTCGATGCTCTGTCTGTGTTTACAGTTAAGGGATGAAACACAGATTGCAAAGTTACCTGATCCATTAAAATATGTAATTTTCAAACAGTCCTGCTAGATATTTGAAATAAGAAGCGTACAATTCATGTCTGCGCACTTGGTGGGCTTGAAGAACTGATCGTTATTTAACATCGATGCATAATTTCTATCCCGAAGCTTGTCGTTGAGTTACCTTATTGTTTTGTCTTTGGACAGAAAGCAGCAATTAGCACCAACAATTTACCCCCTTTTGCTAATAATTCCGTAACAGGGCATAACATTAAAGTTTTAATTAGTGATTATCGTTCCTCTCGTTTTTTATGCGTTTTGTGCTGTGTAACAGCAGTACAAAGCGCATATTGTCACGGGGTTGTCTGTGTGTGTGTTTGTGTGTGTGTGTCCGCAATAACTTGTCCGCAACTTTCAGTTCGGGAACCACAAAAGCTAGGAAGCTGAAAATTTAGGGTAACGTTCTCCACCCATGTGTGGCCGCGCAAATTTAAATTCAGCTTCCCCGTACCCGCGGGTAACGCGTACGGCCCCGTGAAAGTTAATACCTCGGGAACCACAGAGTCTAGGAGGCTGAAATTTTAGGGCAGTGACCCCCTGCCTACGCTCAACCTTGCCCATTCAAATTCAGCCTTCTCTTACCCGCAGGCAACACGTACGGCCCCGTGAAAGTTAACCTTGCCCATTCAAATTCAGCCTTCCCTTACCCGCGGGTAACAGGTACGGCCCCGTGAAAGTTTTTCACGGGTAAGTTAATATCTCGAGAACCACGGGATCTAGGAGGCTAAAATTTTAGGGCAATGACTCCCTGCCCAAGCTCAACCTCGCGCATTCAAATTCAGCCTTCTCTTTCCTGCGGGTAACACGTACGGCCCCGTGAAAGCTTTTCACGGGCAAGTTAATATCTTGGGGACCACGGAGTCTTGGAGGCTGAAATTTTAGGGGAATGACCCACTGCCCCCGCTCAACCTTGTCCATTCAAATTCAGCGTTCTCGCGTCCTCGGGTACCACTACGGCCTCGTGAAAATTTTGGCGGGTAAACTATTAACTCGGGAATCACGGAAAGATATTCATC